CCCAGCCTCAATGGCTTGCATCCCAGCCTCAATGGCTTGCATCCCAGCCTCAATGGCTTGCATCTCTTTTTAAATGGCTAAAGCCAACATGGCTTTGGTGCCTTATTTTCTATAGCCTGCATGGCTTACTGCTTTGGAAGCCCTTGGTGGCTTTGAGTGATCAAACAATAGCCTTTATGGCTTCCAAGCCTGAATGGCTACTTGTGTACTGATTGTATTGGAATGTGTAGAAATAGTGTTTTTGTTGAACATAATTGAACTGACATTTCAGTTATTTGATGTTATCAGTATGTTATCATACAAATTGGGTAAAACTCATTTTTTGTATGTTAAAGAAACCAGGTGTGCTTGAGAACCAGTGTAAAAGAATAGTGTATATGTTCCAACTATTTCATGTCACTACATGACTGCCAGGCTTTAGGTTTACAGTGAATGAGTGACTGAAACAGTGAAATGGTGACTGAATGGCAATGGATGCTCCTCACAAGCTGTTGGATATTCATCACTTGTATTGGGGCACAAAGCTAGTGTTCAATGGAGCTGATGTAATGAAACTTAGATTGTTTGAGATTGATTTTTTATTTAACTGTTTATTATGTAAGTACCTTTGTTCAGAGCAGTCTCCTGGACCAAACCATGCCTCAGGATTTTCAAGAATGAGTACTACAGCAATGTCAAATACTCTATGTGGAAGTGGGTGGGGAATACAAGATGGAGAGTGGCCCACGGCCGGGCCGCCTGTCTGGGAGCCCTGACCGTTTGGGGGCCCCTGTCCTCAGCGGACTCGCCGATGATCACGTCGAAGGTACCACCCTGAGGCGTGTGCACGAACCCCGAGGTCTGAAAAGGGTCGAAACCAACAAGCTGGGCTTCTCCCTGAAGGGGTGAAGGGGTGCGTTTGTTTGTCCGAAGTTTGTCCAACATGAATTAGATGTTACTGTAGTTTGATTGCTGTTTGGCTGATGTTTGTTATTGTTTGTTCCTTTTGTCCTTCTCTCTTGTGTCTCGTTCTGTCGGCGCTCCATACCCATTCACAGTCAGGCTGCGGCGTTGTGGAAGAACCAAGATTCCCGCCTGCACGATGTAGAAGTAGTCCGCGTTCAAGTCGCCTTGAGAAAGATTGCGGGCATCTGAAGTGGTCTCCGGCTGTGCATGCGCAGGGGCATGGACGAACCAACCAAGAGTTGTGTTGGGACGATGCTCTGACTACTCCAACCACTCACTCACCTAGTCTTCCATGACCTACCCACTTGGATGGGCTGGGCCTCTGCTAGTAGGTTAAGATGATTAAGATGTTTAACTAACATATTGTTAACCACTTGCTTGTCATATGATAACCATATGTTAACATATTGATAACATGTTACAAAGCTTAAGATGTTTAGCTAAAAGTTACATTTTTTAGCTAACCATCTTAAACATGCTAACCGTTTAGGAGGGTTAGCATGGTTAGCTATGTTTTTTGGGTTGTATTGTTTTATATTACCAAGTTTGCAGCAAATTGTGTCCTGGCAAGTGGAAATTTGTTGCTTGAGTCATAATTCAGCACAAAAGTTTAAAATTGTACAAGAAACTGCATTTAAAAAAACAGCTGGCCATGTTAAGTTTTTGTGATTGCTTGAAGCACATATCCAATCACTTTTCTAATTTGATTCCGATCCAAATCACATCTAGAATTTGTTTGCTGACAGCAAAATTTATTGTAGCTGTGTTTGCAAACCTGGCCCTGGCTAATGCTGAACCAAAGAATGCAAAATTTTGGCTGGCCATGCCAGTGACATTGCTGGCCCCTGCCTTCCAAATTGTTTTGGTGCCTTTACATGGTAGCCCTTTGGTGGCAGGCTCACTAGCCTTGGCAATGTATCTGTTTGCTAAGGAGTTGAAATAAGGACATCCAAGCCTTGATGGCTTTGTCAGCCCTTTGGTGGCTCTATGCTTAGCCAGCCTCCAGGCTGCAATGGCAAATTTACTAACAGCCCTGGTGGCTTTACTTTGCAAGCCCTGGTGGCTTTATTTTGCAAGCCCTGGTGGCTTTACTTTGCAAGCCTTGAATGGCTAATTAGCTCACAGCCCTGGTGGCTTTGTTCTGCAAGCCCTGGTGGCTTTGTTCTGCAAGCCTTGGTGGCTTTGTTCTGCCAGCCCAGGTGGCTTTTCTATGCAAGCTTTTAATGGCTAATTTGCTCACAGCCCTGGTGGCTTTATTTTGCCAGCCCAGGTGGCTTTACTTTGCAAGCCTTTAATGGCTAATTTGTCACAGTTTTGGTAGCCTTTGCTGTACAGCATTGGCTTGAGCCAACCCAAGTGTTGGTTCATTGTGGCTGGGAAATGGCTTGAAACTGCAATCCTGGCTTAAGTATTTCAATAGCTTCTGTGCACTGCAGCCATGTCGAAAGTGCCACCCAATGTGAAAGGCAAAGTGGATGAGATCCTTGCCAGTGAAAGTCCTGTACTTGTCAAAGTTCAAAGCCTTGTGGACCACTTGACTGAATGTGGCTTGGCTTATAAAATGATGGTCAAGCCAAGTGAAGTTTTGACCCACCCTGACAACAGGGCAGGACAAATGCTTTCAGCATTAGACTGCTGGAACAAAGGAATGAAGATGTGGAGTGTTGGAGTGAGAAAAGAACTCCTCACCAGCTCAGTGGCTTTTGAATTGGCCATCAATACTGAGACCAGGGAAAAGCAGCTGCAGTCCAATCAGAGACTGATTGAAAGTAGTAATGGACTGCTAGCAACCATTAGTGGCCAAGAAAGGTTTCTCAGTGTTTCCAGCAGCCACATGGCTGCATGGCTGAAAGCTGTGGGCTCTGGGTGTGCAGGGCCAAATGACATGGGGCCACTGCAGCTGAGACAAGGTGACAGCAACAGTGATGTTGTGTCAGCACTGCTGCAGGATGGCTGGATGTGGGTTGTAATGAGCAGTGCAGTGGAAGAAGAATGGCCTAAGTTGCCAGGTTTCTTGCAAATGGCCCTGAACAGCACCAATTCTTTGAACAAGCAGTTGTCAGAAATTGAATGTGCTGGTCAGCTTGCCCAGGGTGTATTGCATGGTCAAGCTCTGAATGTGGCCTTGGAAGAGTTAAAAGCATGTGCACCTTCCTGCAAGAGTTCCCTGGAAGCCATTGCAACCTATGTCTCCAGATTTGGTGGTGGTCAGAAAATGGAATTGGTGCTATTTCTCCTCAAGTTCAGCTCTTAGGCTGCAAATAGGCATGCTCACAATGAAGTATAGTTTACCTGAGTGTAGCATGTGTAACCATGGACTATAGGCTTTTGGTTGGTCAGCCTCCATGGCTTTGTTCCAAAAACCTGATAGTCCCTGCAGTGGCTTGTTCTAGTGGGTGGCCAGATGTTCTGCATTTCACTCAGGCAAAGCTTTTGCTACTGTCATGATTGGGGAAGAAATGATGAAAGCCATCACCTACTTTGACTTGAAGGGTGAGCAGAACCTGGTGCCATTCTTCAGAGCAAGCATGCTCTTGGCTTGAATGGTCATTGGCAATGTGTTTATTGTTTTCTTTTATGTTGTTGGGACCAGCACTTCACATGCAAATGATGCTCTGTGAACATTCCAGCCTAGGTGGGCCACAATGATGACAGCATCCAGGCAAGTGGATGGAGTGGCAAAACTGCTGAGTAAATCAGACATTGAGAGGCTGAAGGCGCCAGCAGTGAAACCAAAAGTGTTGGAGGGAGAGTGCCTTGGCCCAATTGTGTTTCCCCCACAAGCTTCTGATGTACCAAAAGCTTTGGCACCAAAGTAACTTCTTCCTTAGTGGCTGAAACATAAGCCCAATGAAGGACACTTTTGCAAGATGCTTGGGCATTGCTTCAAAGTTCTTTGAAACCAGAGACCTTCAAAATGGCATGCTTTGGGCGATTGGCAACCAGAGTGTGCTTGCATGTGATGCAGAAAGAGAAGCTTGGGAGAGAAGCTGAAGGCCACCCTGACCTTGCAAGCATTTCCCAGCTATTCACTGATGAATTGAGTGGCACTGCTGTGTCAAATGAACAGCACAAAGCTGATAGCAGTGAATCTCTGGAAGTCTGTGATACTTTGCACATGTCCAAAAAGAAAATGGCTTTGCTGCAGAATGTGCATATCAAAGAGAAAGAGAAGCAGCCTGGCCCATGAGTTTGTTTTCCATGTTGCAATTCATTTTTGTGTTGGCCAAAATTCAAATTGGTGGACACTCTTTTGTTTGTTTTGTTTTCATGCCAAGACATCCATTCTTCCCAACCCTAGGTACCACCACAAGGACTTCCCCCACAAGATCTTTCTTTTGCACCAGGTGACTGAGGTCCACTGCCTCTTCATCCACCAGCCATTGTTCCAAGCGCCTCTGGAAGTCAAGGTGGACTTCTTGAATTTGAAAGATTGGAGGCCAACCAAAGCACCAATGTCATTGGCATGCCCCCTGCCCAAAGCAGAAGCCCACATGGTTCAGAAGCATGGTGCTGTTGAATTGGAGCTTCAGAAGAGCCATGTGCAGAAGTGCTTGCTGCAGGCTTGCCAGGACAATGACCCTACTTGCAATGATGTGGTCTTTTCCTGCAGCCCACAACATGTGTGGGCCTCAAAGAAGATTTCCAAGAAGGGTGGGCTCAAGCTATACCCTTGTGGCATTGTGTCCTTGCTCAAAGGCACACCTGCTTCTGAAAAGCACTACATCAAGGCCTTTGGAAAGATGTGGCTGATTTCAGCTATGAAAGCTTTGGTCAATTTTGAAAAGGATGAAGGTGTGTTGAGCCCATTTTGGTGGGTCAAGTGTGCAGGGGACCATGAGGACCACAACATGGCCTTTGGTAAAGTGACAGTTGAAGGCTGCAAAATCCCTGTTTTGCAGAACATTGGACCTATCCAGGCACATGAGTGCTTGCTCATTGAGAACCCAAAGGACATTGCCAAGAAGAAGAGGAAGGCTGACAAGCCTGACACAGCCAAATAATGCTTTCCAAGTCTGGGATTGGCGCCCCTTCCTGGATACCAAATGGTCCAAAGACTGATCAGTACTCTGCTAAAACCTGTGCAAAAAGTACAAGCTTGCTGTCTTTGCTTTGTGTTGCTGCCAGCCCCAGTGGCTAAACACAAGCCCCAGTGGCTAGTGTTGTCTTGAAGCCTGGATGGCTGCAATACCTTGCAAAAGCTTCCATAGCTATGGGTCAACTGCACTTTCTTGTTGTTGCGGCCTTGGGCTTGCCAAGGTCTTTGCCAATGATGCCAAGCTTTGACTGCAAAGTTCTGGTTCAAGAGGTGCAGTTGTGCAGCCATGGCTGATGTGAGGATTAGGCCCAGCATTGATATTCAATGTGGAGAAGGCAAATGGATTCATGTGCCACCTACCTTACTGGAAGAACATCAAGGGCAACAATTCTTGAGGCTGAGGCCATCTTCACATCCTATTGTTGCTTTGGTGACCCAGAGCACTGTGAAGCAAAATGCATCCTTTACAAGCAGCAGCAAGCTGCAAGAGTTGCTGAAGATGAGGAATGAAGCTGCTGCCACACGGCTTTCCCAAGACAATGATGGAACTGAAGCTGATGAAAGCAAAGAAGACATGTGGAAAGATGCTGCACCCCAAAAGGAAAGTGCTACTGAAAGCAAGAAAAGAAAACTTGAAGTCCCTTCTGGCAGCTATGTGGTGGAGATTTCAGTAGCTGGCCAGGTTGTGCACATTTTGTGCCAAGGCACTAGACCTTCCAAAGCAGACCTTCTAGTGAGACTGGTGCCTGAGGACCTCAGTGCAATCTTTGCCTTCCTGAAGGATGATGTGAGTGAAGCTACCAATGCTGCTAAAAGGCAGTATTCCAAGAAGGAGAAGAAAACACTGTGAAAGCCAGAGCTGAGGTTGAAAAAGCAGCAGCATGTTTGTGAGTTTGCAATGGCTTCTATCTTAACCTTCATCGCTTGTACCCCAGCCTCAATGGCTTGCATGTGCCCCCCCCCCCAATACTTTCCAATAAAGCTTTGAGGTTTTGCATCTCATCCTTTTCCACTGGACCCTCATGGATTGCATCTTTGCTTGGAAATCAGGTTCAATTGTTTGAATCATAGCCTGAATGGCTTGCATCCTAGCCTCAATGGCTTGCACCCCAGCCTCAATGGCTTGCACCCCAGCCTCAATGGCTTGCATCCCAGCCTCAATGGCTTGCATCCCAGCCTCAATGGCTTGCATC